GTGTGTTTATTGTAGGGTCTCCTGGAATACAGGGGTTCCCACACGCCCTGTGTTTACTGTAGGGTCTCCTGGAAAACGGGAGAGTTCCCCCCATTTGTTGTAGGGTCTCCTGGAAAACTGGGGATCCCACGAACTGCTTGTTTATTGTAGGGTCTCCTGGAAAACAGGGGATCCCACACAGCCCCTGTTTATTGTAGGGTCTCCTCAAAAAAAAACACCCCACGCTTCCTGCAGGATCTCTGGGAAAACAGGGGATCCCACACCCCGTGTTTATTGTAGGGTCTCCCGGAAAACACCCCCCTCCACATCTATTGTAGGGTCTCCTGGAAAACAGAGAATCCCAGGGAAACAGGGAATCCCAGGAAAACAGGGAATCCCACCCCCTCCCTTGTTTAGGATCCCCAGGAGAACCCTGACCCCACCCCCCGTGTTTACTGTAGGGTCTCCCACCGCCGACCCCAAACAAACCTCGCACTTCCCTTCTGCCAAAACTTCCATTTATTCCTATTTTTTTACCTACAAAAATCTGGAACCCTGTCACGGGATAAACCCCCCAAGGGAAAACAAGCCCCTGGAACGGGATAACCCCCCCCCCCCAGGGAAAACAAGCCCCTGGAACGGGATAAACCCAAGGAAGCGCCGCTGCCGGGGGGGCCGGGACCCCCCATGTCCCCAATCCATCCCAGGTGCATCCCAGTGGGATCCCAGGTGTATCCCAGTAGTGTCCCTGTCTTATCCTGGTTTTATCCAGTGTGTTTCTATCCCTGCTGTATCCCGGTGTTATCCTGGTTTTATCCCGGTTTTATCCCATTTCTATCCCAACGTTATCCCAGCTGTGTCCCGCTCCCATCCCTGCCGTCCCCCGGCATTATCCCAGTAATATCCCGGTTTTATCCCATTTCTATCCCGTTGCTATCCCGACTGTATCCCGCTCCCATCCCCGCTGTTATCCTGGTTGTACCCCGCTTCTATCCCGGCTGTTATCCCACTCCCATCCCTGCCATCCCCTGGTGTTATCCTGTTTTTATCCTGGTTCTATCTCCTTTCTATCCCAGCTGTTATCCCACTCCCATCCCCGCCATCCCCTGGTGTTATCCTGTTTTTATCCTGTTTCTATCCCATTTCTATCCCAGCTCTTATCCCATTCCCACCCCTGCCATCCCCTGACGCTATCCTGGTTTTATCCCGCTTCTATCCCGGCTGTTATCCCACTCCCATCCCTGCCATCCCCTGGTGTTATCCTGTTTCTATCCTGTTTCTATCCCATTTCTATCCCGGCTGTTATCCCTCTCCCATCCCTGCCATCCCCAGCGCTATCCCGGTTTTATCCCGTTTCCATCCTGGTCATTCTCCTGCTCCCTCCCCACCATTATCCCACCGTTATCCCACCATTATCCCACCATTCTCCCACCGTTCTCCCACCGTTCTCCCGCCATTCTCCCGCCGTTCCCCGGGCTCAGGCGCTGGGAAGCTCTGGTTTATGACGAATTTTCTGCGCTTCGGCGGCCGGGCCGCGGCCGCGGCGGCTCCTCCGGGGGCGGCTCCGGGCTCGGGAGGCGCCGGAATTCCCAGGGAGGCTCCGGGCAGGCCGTGGGCCGTGATGTACTTCTTGTAGGCCTCGCGGATGATGCGGAAGGCCCGGATGCTGGAGTAGGGGATGTCGGTGACGGGGTCCCGGTACAGGGCCGGCCGGTGGGTCACCGGGCACAGCTCCCGCACCGGCAGCCGCGGCGGTTTGGATTTCGGGAAGAAGCGCTCGAAGGTCTCGTCGTCGCTGAAGGAGATGAAGGTCCGGGAGCACTTCCCGTAGGGAGAGGGGTCGGAGGAGGGAGGAGGAGGAGGAGGAGGGGGGGGGTCCTGCTCCAGCCTGGGGGAGGGAAGAGGGAGAGGGTTAAAGTGG